GTTCCTGCAGATGTTTGAAGCTCCAAACTGGGGTCTTCAGGAGAAGGTGTTGAGTATGGTTTTCTATCACTTTTAGATAGGTATATAATATTTGTTTTATCTCTCCCCTCTAAGTAGTTTTTCATCGGTGTCATAATCTTTTTAATTAGCTTTATCAAACAGCCAAATCTTACGTTGTTCTTATCTTTACATAATGGTTTTATAATCCAATACGTTTCCAGTTGTCAAGGCACCAATGAAAATAAGATTTTGTGACAGTTCTTCTTTTCAGAGATCTTGTAATTATCAACCAGTCAGGATTCAGTCCAAAGTATTTTGACCATCTAAAAGTTTTCCAGTAATTTCTCCTTTAGAACAGGGCTTTTCAACTGTGGTACATTGGCATGTGGCAGGTGGTACACGACCCTGCCTAGTCTAGATAAGTGTAGCGGGGGAGAAAATGAGGTAAAGCAGCGCAATGCAGGCACTTGCCGTGAGAGAGTCCTCAGGAGCTGCAGAGCTGCTGGGCTGAGACAAAGGCCCCAGGATCGGCACTTCCTGCTCACCCAGAAGAGAAAGGGGGAGGAGAGGGACGGAGACAGGAGAGGTTATAAAAGGAGGCAGTTTTGACCTGAGAGGGAGAGAAAAACAAAACTCAGACAGAAGAGAAAAAGCTTTTGTCAGAGAAGCTGTGAGGAGAAACAAGGGGGGGGGGTAAGGCTTTCTGGGAGAAGTGTGTGAGAGAGGCAGAGGAAAGGCGAGGGGCCTTTTGCTAGCAAAGGGTGAAAGAAAAAAGGAAAAAAGTGAGGAGTAGAAGGGAAAAAGAAAAGACATTGACTTCCGACTTTCTCTGTTGCAGTAGAAGGAAGCATTAACACTGTGCCTCAACTTTTTACTTTCCATAATATTATAAACAAGCCATTTCTAACAAATGACTCTAACAGTAAAATCCAAATCCCCTCCTTTTTTTAATCATCAAGTTTTTGACACCTTGCTAAGCACTGGTGGTACTTGAATATTGTCATGTCCTAAAAGTGGTACAATCTCTGAAAAGGTTGAAAGCCCTGCTTTAGAAAATTAGCCAAAGTCCAAGATTTTTCTTTCTCTGCAAACAGTGCTTAGATTTAAGAATGCAGCTCAGTATGTTTATAATCCCAGAAGGTCAGCAGTTTCTAAACATATGTAGTTTCACTCAATAGTAGATAGGTCAATGTTTTGTTCCCAGCTGTTTTTTACTACTTCTAGTCATCTTGCCAAATTCTATGTAAATGCTGCTATAGTTTTCTCTAATCCTCCACTAAATGTCACTATTCATTTTTCAACTTTTTAAAACAAAGAGTTATTTTTGTTCTTTTTATATTTTCATCAATGCTTTTTCAGGTGTAGAGTTTTGACAATTTTCTTAGCTTTCAAATTTATCCAAACTGTAGTATTTTATATTTTTATTCCCCTTAGGGGTTTAATTTGCCGCTTCCATCTATAGAAGGGTGAGGTATAATCCCCTCCCTTCTTACTTTGGGAGGCTTTTTGTTCTTGGGGAACTTTTCCAGGAAATCAGATATAAATATAGATATAGGAGAGAGAAGATCAAATTCCTCACTCAGTTTCAAGCACGCTGTTCACTGTTGTGCTGGTTAGTGCCTTTGGACTTCGGCTGCAAGTAGCTTGAGCTGGTCAACAAAGTGTGACCAGCCTTTCTCCTGTTGGGTTAGAACAGTGGTTCTCAACCTTTTTAATGCCGCGACCCCCAACCGGTCGTAAGTCGAGGACTACTCAACCGGTCATAAGTCGAGGACTACTCAACTGGTGCAGCACTGTTTGCAGAATGGGACTTTTGGCGGGCTCAGCAGGGCAGAGACAGCCTGGACAATTCCTATTGGCTTTTGAAAGCCAATAGAATTAGACTCTATTCAAGAGAGTCTATTCTATTGGCTTTCAAAAGCCAATAGAATAAAAGGGAGTAGCACAGCTAAGGAAAAGGGGGAAAAAAATGGCGGACTGCGTTGTTTGGCGACCCCCGTGAAATGGTCGTTCGACCCCAAATGGGGTCCCGACCCACAGGTTGAGAACCACTGTCTTAAAGGGAATATTTTCTGAGAGCTTTTGTGTACAAAAACATTAATTTGAGTTTATTATTATTAATTATTATTATTATTAATGGGGGATTGACAGAGACTTTTAATATTGAAAAGGGTACAAGACAAGGTTGTCCATTACCTCCTTTGTTATTTGTTTTAACAATGGAGATTTTGTTAATTCAAATTCGAGAGTCTACAGTACTTAAGGGAATAAAAATAAGAATGAGTATAGACTGAGAGCTTTTGCAGATGATTTGGTGTTAACTTTACAACAACCGATTCAATTGATTAGTTATTTATTGGAACTTATAATTCAATATGGGAAAGTTTCTGGTTTCAAAGTAAATAATAATAAGACTAAGATATTATCTAAGAATATGACTGAGAAGGAAAATGAAATTTTAGTTAGACTTACAGGTTTTCAGCTAGTGAAGAAGGTTAAATATTTGGGAGTATACATAACCGCTTCTAATGGGAAATTATATAAGAATAATTATGAAGTATTATGGACAAAAGTAAAAAAGGATTTAAATGATTGGAAAAAATTGCAACTGTCATTGTTGGGGAGAATTTCAGCTGTTAAAATGAATGTTCTACCAAAGTTTCTTTTCTTGTTTCAAATGATACCCATTTAAAAAAAAAGATGCTAATTTGGGTGAGTGGCAGAAGGGTATCAATAAATTTATATGGGCTGGGAAGAAACCAAGGGTGAAGTTTAAGATTTTGCAAGATGCTTGAGAAAGAGGAGGGCTTAAAGCGCCTAATTTGAAATTATATTATGATGCAGCCACATTAACTTTGATAAGTGATTGGCTTAATTTAACAAATAAAAATATTCTTTCTCTTGAAGGGTGGGATTTATTATATGGTTAGCATACATATTTAATTTTTAATAAGAAAGTAGATCGGGCTTTTAAATCGCATATTTTAAGAAGTGCCCTACTTCGAGTCTGGAAGAAATATTATTATAGGTTAAATTATAAAATACCTATTTGGGGAATTTCTGGACATGCAATTGAGGGGATCTCTAAGGGGATGAAATGGTCGTTCGACCCGTGAAATGGTCGTTCGACCCCAAATGGGGTCCCGACCCACAGGTTGAGAACCACTGGGTTAGAAGGCGTCCCCCGAATCGAGCGAAATGATCGCCATCGTTCCAGAATCGTCAGGGCACCCTTCTCTTCTTCGCCGCTTCTCCGGGGCCACTTAGACCAATTTAGGGCTCCCTGGCAAGGCGAAAGGAGATCCGCGATCCTGCGACCTGCTGCTACAACGCAAAACCGGAAGTCAGAATGTGGACTATACTGAAGTGCCTACATAGTCGCCAAGATTGGAGTTCAGCTTGATGAATTCTTCGCCATTACCATCTGTAAAGTTTGTAAAAGAATTGTACTGATCTCTTCACCATTGAGTCACAGAATATAGAATGGGGGGAGGATTCCAAAATACTCCACATCAATTGGTTCTTATTTGTTACCGTGTGTAAGAGTAACAGTTAAATCTGCCAACATTTAAACGAGTGTTTTTATAAAGTTGATAAATTTGAAAAACACTGATTTGAAGACTCCTTTGCAGACATCACATTTATCTCTATGAGTGCTTTTTGGAGGGTATTATTATCACACAATGGGGTAAGATCCCATTATTCACCTCAGTTCTTGCCGGCTTAGGAGTTCAAAAGCATGCAAATGTGAGTAGATATATAAGTACCACTTCAGTGGGAAAGTAACAGCATCCCGTGTGTCTTGGCATATAGTCATGCCGGCCACATGACCATAGAGGTGGCTGGCTCCCTTGACTAAGAAATGGAGATGAGACCTCTCCCTAGAGTTCCCCCTGGATAGGGGGAACCTTTACCTTTTTATCTTAATATAAAATTTTGACAGAATAAGATATGAGCAGAATTAAGTTTGGCTCTGTCTGTTAATGATGAGATACAGAGAGTTGGAAGCGGCAGATAGAAGGATTTTGAATTTGTATGGGATGTGTGCAAAATTATGTTTTTAAGAATGTTCTTCAGAGAAAATCTGCAGTTCTGTGCTCATAGATGGACAGTAGTAGCTTACTCATCTGCATATAAAAATGCAAGCAAAGTACAATATGTTTTGATAGCAGCAGTTTCATATTTACAGTTTGTTGCTGAATGTATGGCATCTGTCTATAGTTTTTTTATATATCCTCCAATAGTTGCTTAAGTAAAGACAGAAAAAATAATTTATTTGTATTACAGCCCTTGAAATCCTAATCCCGTTTTAAAGCCCTATAGCCTTGAGGCTACAAGTACAATTTTTTGCTTCATTAACAATACTACTCCTTTCCAAAGATATTTTTATTTATAGCCACATTTAAATTACAGAATACATGATCCAGATCTGTCATGCTGATTGTAGTTGTTGCTATCATGTTAGATGACCTATTTTAGTTTGTTTATAATGTGCAGGATCAGCATGCTGCATTTTAACTGGTTGCATTCAATAGTTGAGTTAAAGTAAATGGGATACACAGGTAATATAGGGGATTACATTGAACAGTATACTAATTTACAAGTGATGTTTCTAACATGGGGAAAATTCCCCATGCCTTCAGCATCTCTGAATCTCTGAACACGTAATTACTTCTGGGCAAACATTTCAATCCATTTTTATAAAAGCTTGACTATGGAGTCAAATATACTGAGGGTTTGTACCAGAGAAATCTGTAACTGTTCCTTTTGCAGTAATTAAAATATAATGTCAGTGATCAACAGAACTCATGTTGCTGCCTCTGGCACATAGAGATTTGTACAAGAGTAATTTTTTTTTGTCCTTTTCTGTAGCTGCAAGGAAACCTTGCTGAACATCTCTAATGGAGGATTTTTTTGTCTATATGTTTAAATGAACTACTGTGTTCTTGGCTTGTACTTAATGTTTTCAATTCTGCTATTTTTTCTCCCTACTGTTCTAGGTATAAAAGAAGTCATTTTTATGTCTGATAAATATCATGATACTCCGGAAATGATAGCTGCACGGCGCTTGTTTGATCTAGCTGGAATTTTGTACAGGTGAGTCAACACATGGGGATATAGATCCTTAACCCCCATCCCATATTCCCACTCTTCCTTTTGTGTATATTGGGTTGCTATTGCATTGTCTTAAAATTGTGAAGGAATCTGTTTCCTCAGCTCAATAATTTCTCTTTTCCCTTTTATATGCAAAACGGTATAAGCTGAGGTAATAATATTATTAAAACTAAAAGTAGGGTTGGAACAATAATGGGAAAGTGATAGATTGTTGTGAACTTTTTCTAGAACATTCTTATTATACCAAACAACAGAATGAGTTGTTTGTCATAGACCAATTTTCTTTTTTTAATATATATATATATATATATATTCAATGATGCAATCTTCGATCTCCGGGAAGAGTATACTCCAGTTATTTATTGTTAAAACAACAGCAGATAGAGCAGCGGATCAGGAAGGAAAAGATATTGAGGAAGAGAACATCAATAAAAATGGTCGATGAAAGGCAGGAGCAATATGTTAATCAACAGGTGGGAGGGTTGAAGGAAGGGGGGGAGGATGACAGGAATGGATAACAAAGGGTGCATGAATCGGCAGGCTGGGAGAGGAGGGGGGTTGGAGGAGGGAGTTGAAATAGAAACCAGCAATGGTATGCAAAAACGGCAGGCAGATCATCAGCTCAACAGGATTCGGGTAGTGCCGAGTCGGAGGAAGCACCTTGCATTGGATAAGGAGGAGGATTGGAGAGTGTGCTAATGATAACAGCGCAGGGAGGGGGAGACAGCACAAGGATGACAAAGCAAGAAAATACAATGTTAGAGTGCAAAAAAGAGAGGGCGGAACAGGCAAGGCAGTCACAGGAAGAGTGGTCCTGTCACGAGGGCAATGAGTAGGCAATTGGATCAGCAAGGGGATAAAAAGAACTTCCCACCCCCTAAGCCCCACTCTGAGGACGCTGGCAGAGGACCAGCGAAAGCTAAGTTGTTTTAATTCTTGTATATAACTTTTTATTGTTTTAAATGTTGTTTTAACAATAAATAACTGGAGTATACTCTTCCCGGAGATCGAAGATTGCATCATTGAACAATATGCCCGGAATTCGTATTTTTATAACTATTAAGGATGGATATGTGTGTGTGTGTGTGTGTTTTCTGAGGTTTTCGCGGGTGTTTGTATGTAGGTCTTTGATTGTTCGGGTTTTCTCCCGCGTAAAATTGGAAATTGCGTGGATGTGTGATGGTGACATCCTGTGTGGTTTTTATGAGTGTGGGTCTGGTATCATTTTTTTGTGTTAGGGAGTCGTTTGTCAATAAGGGCGGGTTTCCAAATGGCTGGTAGGCGGGAGGTATCATCTCGCTTGTTCATGCTGTGTGGGCGTTTTTCTATCTCGATGGCTTCTCTGATTATTCTGTTATTAAAATGTTCACTTTTGGCAATGGTTCTGGTATTTTTAAAGTCAATTTCATGTCCTGTGGCTTTAAGGTGTTGGACCAGGGAAGATGTTGGTTCCTCTTTTTTGACTGAGTTCTTATGTTCTTCAATGCGTGCACTTATTCTTCTGTTGGTTTGTCCGATGTATGTGTTGGGACAAGCAGTGCATGGGATTTCATATACTCCTTGATTTTCTAAGTCAATTTTATCTTTGGGGTTTCTAAGGATGGTGGATATTTTTCTGTTTGTGCAGAATGCTGTTTTGATGTTGTGTTTATGGAGGATCTTACTGATTCTGTCTGTGGTGCCTTTTATGTATGGGAGGAGGGCTTTGCCGTTTTCTTGTTCTTTGTCTTGGATTTTAGTGGGGGTTTCTTTTTGGATTAGGTTTGTAATCTGTGATCTGTAATCTGTCACCATCACACATCCACGCAAAAAGCAAACCCAAAGCCACATCGATGATGAGACACGACCACAAACCAGAAGCCAGACCACAGCTGCATCATTAGCCACTTTAAACCCCTCCAATCCATACATGAAGCAAACTGACACCCTCCATGAAGATGAGGCACGACCACGAACGCGAACCCAAAAAATAGCAAGGTAGCCCAAAATCTTAAACACCCCTGCAACTCAGACTAACCTGAGCACAACCAAACAGAACACTCCCCCAGCCAATCAGAGCACAGCCAACCCCCCAGCCAATAAGAGCACAGCCAACCCCCCAGCCAAACAGAGCACAGCCACACCCCTAACCAATCAGAACACACCTCCACCCAATCAGAACACCGCCAAGCTCCCACCCAATCAGTTCATACCCCCACTGGCAGTTAAAAGGAAGAAACAGCTAAGACCACACATTGCTCCTCGAAGCACGAAGCTGAAAGCACCAGCCTGAAGATGACGAATGGGACTTTGTCGAAACGTCGCCAAGACACTTCCAAGTTTACGCGGGAGAAAACCCGAACAACCAAAGACCTACATACAAACACCCGCGAAAACCTCAGAATATACATATATATATATATATATATATATATATATATATATATATATATATATATATATATATATATATATATATATATATAATTGTTTTTTTAATTTTAACAAAAAGTACTTCAGACACCGTGGTGTTTGGGTAAACAAACATTCCAAGATAAAAAACATACATATACAGCTCAATTTAATACATTCACTATCATCTCTCTATTTCCCACAGATAACATAATAAATTTAATATATTCCATTTCTAGCTTAAATTTCTATTACTATTCAACCTATTTTAAAACTTTATCAATTTAGAATTACCATAATCAAATATTGTTTTACAATAACAAATTGTCACTTCAAATATCTCTACCAGATATGTTGAAGTTCTTAATCTCTCTCAACCCTCTTTTTATCACCAATCTCATTCATTTCTTCTTCTGAAGATAACTAACTTAATTAAGAAAAAAAATAATGTTAAACCTTAATTTCTTTCAATTCATTACACAAACTTCAAATTCCATCCAATTAATTATCATACCTTCTCAGATCTTATTATTATACATAAAAATCACCTAATCAATTTAAGCACTTCAAAAATACATTCTCATAACTAAGCATTTTTTCAATTCTAGAACATACATACATATAGTACGAATAAAATACGAACACCAGGAGAATATAAATATAAAAATATACTTTACTAAAAGCTGCCAAGCTTTCGTTTGGAAACTCCAAACATCATCAGGGCTAAGGAGCCAGTAAACAATGATGACTTAAATGGGTTTTGCCGGCATCTGCAACCGGCTCATGGACCGCGTCACCGGTCCCGGCCGGTTAATTAGTGTTCCAGATGTTTCTTTATTACTCTCCTTGCGCTTCCTTCTATGGTTCTTCCGGATCATTCCTTCCACTATCTCATTACTAACATTCATCTCCTCCACCACCCCTTTATCCTTATTTCCTTCCATAGTACTGACCCTCATCTTTTTGTTTTCATTTTCCACCCTGGGAGCATTCGTTTCTCCTCTATCAGTATTACAGGCCTCTCTGGGCTCACAGATGCTCCCCCTCACACACGCTTTTCTCAATCCCTGCTCCACACCCTTTCTTCTTACTCCTCCACTATCATGAGTAACTTTCATATGGGTGTTGTATATTTGGGGATCTATGCCCTCCTCCTCCGTCCTGGCAATCTTTGTGTTGACAGTTCTCCACCGTTCCATTTGTTTGCTGCGTGATCGGGTGCTTACTCCACCTCTCAATTTATTATCCCCCCTCCTCCCTATCACACGCTCTTCCCCATTGCTGGTAGGAACGGCATTCAGGCGGACGCTAGGTCTCCGGATCTCTGCATTCTGATTCCCCACGTTCTCACTCTCCAATCCTGTGCTTGTCTTTGGGGGGACTTCAAAGTGTTCGTCCCGGGGGGGGGGGCTGGATCGTTGGTGAGGGTATTCCTTGTCTGCAAAGGGTCCAGGCAGAACACCGTGTCTCTCCCTTTCACCGTATGCCTAGGCAATCGAGCCGTGCTTTCGTTGTTCTTCTCCGCCCTTTTTTCTTTTGATCTCCGTTTATAGGTACCCCTACATCAGGATTAGCGAAGTGGCTTAGCACTCGTCTGGGCCACCTTGTGGAAGGCAGCCCCACAACAGTCAATTCTGCAGAAGAATTCCTCAACAGATTTAAGACCCTTAGGGTGGAGGATGATGAGAGGATGGTATCGTTTGACGTTACCTCCCTCTTCACCTCCATCCCCCAGGACTTAGCTATTTCAGCCCTGGGACAGCGCTTGAGGAATACAGAAGGGAGCCACCACCAGGACTCCCTTCGGACAGACGACCTCCTGTGATTAGTGGAAATATGTCTCACCACCTATTTCACCTTCTAGGGCACCATCTTCGAACAAGTTAAAGGGACACCTATGGGCTCCCCCATTTCTAGCACTATAGCGGAAATAGTACTCCAACAGCTAGAACACAGGGCTATGGCCTTATACCAACCCAAATTTTGGGTTCGGTACGTGGATGACACGTTTGCAGTTGTTAAAAAACAACATGTAGCTACCTTTATGAGAGTACTAAATTCGATCTGCTCCGACATCCAGTTTACAGTGGAGGAAGAAAAACAAGGTCACCTAGCCTTTCTGGACGTGTCAATATACCGCCAGTTGGATGGGACGTTACTTACAGGGGTGTTTCGTAAACCCACCCACACGGACAGAATACTCCACTATAGGAGCAACCACCCCGTATCTCATAAAGCTAGCTGCATTAAAGCATTGTTTAAGCGCATGGACTCCCACTGCAGCACTGAGGAGTTTAAGAAGAAAGAAAGCAATATCTTTTCCGGATTTGTCAACGTAATGGGTATCCTTTGAGGCTTATCAGACAGTACGGTCTTACACCCCAGTCCCGGAACAACCAAAGGAGAGAGGAACCATCATTACAAAAAATGTGTGTCTCTTTACCATATATTAATAACGTCTCGGAAGCAACAGCCAGACTGCTGGCCCCCCATGGAATAGAAGTGGCCCACAGACCCAATCAGACATTACGGTCCAAAGTCGTTCGCCCCAAGGACCCACTCCCTGCCATGGATAGATCAGCAGTAATCTA